GAGATTCCAATTTTGATAAGTATAAGCTATCCAGATTTCGATTTGTTATTTATATCATCCAGGTTTTACTAAGAGTAGCAAGCGATGTAGATATTTTCCAGAAAACAGAAGGACAATCAGACAAATCCTTTCCTTCTCCTCTATCAATCTGAGAGACGGCCGTTACTTTAAACTTCCAACCGATTGGCCATGTCAAAGCACTGAAAAGCACATCGGTTTATTGACCGCAGACTTGCTGCCCGATTCGTTCGTTATCGCCCTTATTGATTGCACAGACTAACCGCAAATCGATATTGCAGAACTAGTGTTAATATGTGAAGAGAAGATTGTGTGAATAGCCATATTGGGTAGGCTTGAAGATTGATGATCTGAGAACAATTTTATTGCTTAAGAAAGTCTTGGTCTAGTGAGAAACATAGCAATTAATTAAGGTCTATAAGGGTCGGACTTTTCACCTTGAAGATGCCGCTCATTACTGGAAGATTGCGTAGAATCTAATTACGGAAGAAATTCTAACTTAATCCACGGTAGTCTGTGTACACGAAAGCTTTCACGGTATCTTCTTTACAAAAGGGATAAGATTTCCAGATTAGACAAAAGTAAATCAGAAATAGACTGGCCCAATATTTCATCTGTACTAGACAGAATTTAAATAGCGTTGCTCTCATTGACTGTTTCCTAACTCTCTAATTACGTCACTACTATACTATTAAAACAAAAATAGCCCGATGCTAGGGCTTCGAAAGCTTGTTTCAAAGCGACTCCGTTGAACTATTGTTGTTAACTTGCTCTTAACTACACAGTAGCAGCGTAATAGGTTAATTGGAAGTTTAATATTTACTGTTCACTTTTAGCGGTAGTTGAGCTTGGTTGAACTGTTCCTTAATAAGAGTGGATTAGGTACAAATTTTTTCTCGATTTCGTTTAGTTATATCGACCAAAATAATTGAACATCACCAACACAACTTAGGCTCAAATTCAAGCATTTAGCAGAGACACTACTTTGAGTGGCGCTGCGGTGTTTGGCAATTTGGCAACTGCGTCGGTAGTCACTGCATAGCGTTGGGATTTCCGAAGTTCGATCGAGTAAACGCACAGTGCATCTGCATAGTGATATTGGTAAAGATAAGAATTTTATTCAAATTATTAGTAAAACACTTCTAAATAATTATTTTATTATTAAAAGTTATTCGGTCTAAAACGCATATTAGTCGCACGTTACATGAAAGCATAACACTTTTCAAGGTTAAATTAAATTGATAGACATATCTGTTATCTAGATGACCCTATTACAAAAACGTATTAACTTTCGCTTTCACAGAATATTCCTTACAAAAATAACATGTACATATCAAATATCTAAATGTTCCGATGAAAATATTCTCTAAAAGGGTTTATCGAAGATAGATGTTTAGATTTGTTTTGGGTCTTCTCCAAGCTACAGCAATCTTTTCCAAGATTGTTCGCATAAATCTAGCAGTTATGTCATCTTAGGAGCAATTTATTTCTTTCGTAAGAGGTCACTTGGGAGAGGCCTAAGTCTAGCAATGAGCAGCGAATAGCGATAGGCCGTCGTTTGATTGATTGACGAGGTTATAAACTATTTGCTGTTGGATATCATTCACATGTCACTTTTTAAGAGTGGACATGAACAAACCTTGTAACATTACAGTTTTATTCAATGAACAAAAAATCCAACGAAAAAATAGCAGGTTCGAGACTTTCAAAAAGTCCCTATCCAAGTTTCTAGACCTCTAAATCCTTTCAACTAAGTTCTAAGGCCTCCCAAGGGGGTACGCTCCGTTTAACCCCTGTCTACTAAATCTTGTTTATAGACGACAGGTAAGTAAGAAGTATAAGTAAAACGGTTACACTTAAAAGCTTTCTTTGGGAGGCCGATTGAACGAGGCAGAAACATCACAAGGCCAGAGAATATACAGGGACCTTTATCCGATACAAAATATTAAAACCAGATGCTGCGACAGTTTTGGCACCGAGGCTACAATAAAACTAAGCTGGAATAAAGTAACAGTATCGTGAAAGTTCGGCAATCTAGGCTTTGTTTGCTGTTTTTATGACCAAACACTGCCAAAATTTCATCTGAATGGAAAGAAATTAGCCAGCAAAAACTGTTTAAGTAGAGAAAGTTGTCAAGATGTCACAAGAACTTCTCTTGAGTTATTGAAATCAAAATTGCAGAAAAAATTTGGTTCGTATTTTTAACTGTAATATTTAACTTTAACACTTCTAATCCACAAACTTAGATCGTCTGTGGAATGCCGCATTGATGAAATTTTCGGTGTTAATCTATCAACTGCTACTAGACTCAATTAAATCTCTTAGCGAATTAAATACAGGCGGAATGCTTTGATACATTCAACAAAATATAAATTGCAATCACTATTTCAAATGACCGGAAGCCTTAAACTTACGAGTAATTTGAAAACCAATCAGAAACTACATTAGATTAATTACCAAAGGATTAGAAACAGATGCCAATTAGATGAAATTAAGTGGTAGTAGAAACACAAACCATTTGAGATTGAAGAACTTTCTAGATATGAAAACAGGATAGACATTTGCAGTCAATCCAAGAATTTAGACTATAAGCCCAACATCAAAAGCCTCTTTGCGAAATTGCGTCCTTAAAGAGTTTACAGGGAACACAAATTCGAATGTAATCCTCAAGATTGCTTGGATCTCCGGTGACCCAGAAATGAGCGAGGCAACTGAATCGAACTAGAAACGCGAACGCGTAACATACATGAGCGTCTGTGAACCTTGAACTCATAAACGGACAAATGAACCGTGCTTAATGTGAACAAGAATAGCATATCCGAAAACCATACTGTAAATAGTATATTTAGCACACGCCTTGTTATTTTCCTTAAATCGTGTTTAAACATTTTGCCTGTGCTGTAGTTCTGAGTAGTTGAAGTGCATATCAAATGCTTTCTAGTTTCGGCATCGAGTACTTCAAGGTTATTACAAATTTTCACCTTAAAGTGTGACTTCTATGTTTGTCTAGACATCGTAAACGTTTGCTATGGATCGTGAAGAAGTTATATTCATGCACAGCCATAAAATCATTTTCCTATTACACTAACGGACTTCCATTATATCTCTCTTCGATTTTAATTTAGAGCTCATCATAAATGTCAAGACCTTAAACTAAACTTCGTCTTTATATATCTTCTATTCTATCCTTTCATATAAAAGTAGTGATAATTATGCTTCAATGAATACTTTTCAAAGATATTCCATCCTACATTATTAGGTGGAAGCTAAAAGAGGTACAATGAAACGGTTAGTCGAGATAAATTTTGCTGCAATGCAGATGGGGTGGAAAACGTTGGGTGACAAACAATAGGTTATTAACATACACTGCGGGACTTTGTTTTGGTTATGGTTCTAGTTAACGGACTTAAATGGTGGCAAGTCATGGTATAATAACAGACTATTGCATCAGAAGCGTTGATAGTGTAGTTCGTCTTATGTAATAGTATTTTTTTTAACTGGGGGAAGGGAAAGGAGAAATTTACAGGCGGGAGGGAGTGTCAGACTCTTACTAATTAAAAACAACCCCGTTCCTACTCCTGCACTTCGAGCCCCGGCAACCTGATAAGTCCTCTGCGGCTTAAGTGGGGTGTGTAAATTAGTTAACTAGTTTTAACTTTAGATTCACATCCATTGCTGAAAAATTGTCATAGCTAACTCCTTCCTTCTTCACAGATTCTATAAAGAGTTAATTTGAATATTTGAACTCGAGTGAAACTGTTAGCTAATACCTAGTTGAAAATAAGCCGAAACGGAATTTTCCTACATTCTTGAGATACGCGCATAACATTATTCCTAATTAAAACAAGTTGTATAGGTACAAATTACAACATTTATGTACAACGCAAATGTTTTGTTTTCTAACATCATTTCTAATTTTCACCGGTCGTATGTTACCGTAGCCATTATTTTGCTCGCACAGTGAAAGTAACCCGGGTTCAATTACCGTCTTGTACAAGACATGATTTGTAAAAATTGTAAAATACATGTTTTTAGTGAAACTATTCGCTTCAAGAGTTTCGCTATGGTTTTTGACTTAAGTGGTCTTGGTTGGGAGCGGTCGGGATGTTGAGTGTGATCATAACATCGATGTCTTCAAGTATTTTATAAATGGCGGTCTCTCGGCCCATTTTAATGTATGGCTACTGGTCGAGTTTTGGAAATCCGCAATGGGACCGACTTTGTTTATGAACTCACAATTTCAGAAAATTTTTGGTGTTTATTAATTTAAGAAACCGAATGAAGTTAGTGTTATCAACCGCAGAAGAGGAATTCTTAGAATTGCTAAACAAAAACATGTTTTCGCTATAAATGGGGACATTTTTGCAAGCGATTTGGGATGTCTAAATACACAAGACATTGTATTTATTTCGATACCAATGTTTACAGAGCTCTTTTCTCTCCTCTTTATCAAATCAAAGTATATCAAAGATAAGCATAGCAGTAAGTTGTTCGACCCTATCCAAACGTTAATGTTATTCCAACGGGCGTGCCTTTCGTCATTTGTCAAAGGGACTTACACCCTTTAGTAACTACTTTTTGTACAGTTTTCGTCCTCGATCGACATCAATCTATTCACGAATACGAATTAAACAAACTTCTGTTCTTTGATTGTACGATTTGAAGATTTATCTATGAAGTGTATAAAAATAGTGATCGGTCAAGGATTATTTTATAAATAGATATTTATTTGGCGGACCAATCATCGATTGTAGTTGCTTGTAAGTAGTTCTGGTGCGAGTCAATCAATGATACAATCATGTTCTTTAATCGTCATTTCTATTGATTAGTGTAAAAATTACGCGAAAATATTGCGAAGCCCGGTATAACGTAATAATTTGATAGCTATCATATTTGGAAAATAATTTTTAATATAATTGGGGTGCACATTCAGGGAGTCAATGTTAATGTGTACCGTGTATATGTAAAACCTCTAATCTTACCTGTACTCGCCTCTCATCATCTTTCGCGCGTTGCTCTGCCTGTCTCCGACGCCTTTCTTCGTCTCTCTTTTCTCTCTGCGCTTGCGCAGCGGCTGCGTGTGCGCGTAACTCGTCCAAACGTTTCCTCTGTTCTGCCTCGCGTCTCTCGCGGGCTAGTCGTGCTCGATCTAACGCTTCCTGCGACGCTGGAAAAATAATAAAATAATAATGAATAAACCTGCCTTATTTATTCGTTGACCTACATATGGGCGACGATAGCAGAGGATTTGCCCTCAACAGTTTACTATCAAAGCTTAAAATTTTGATTTATGTCAACAGATGTCGCATATAACAATAGTCTTTGTAGGACAAATACAGAATAACACAAGTTCATGCCCTAATAATTTAATCTAAAATACATTTGCCATACGCAGAACAATGTAACATAGCCATTTGACATTTGGGACGTTAAGGTACGTCTTAAAACGACAAAACCAATAAGAAACCCAATACGGCGGAACTTTGTTGAATAAAAGTACTTAATGGTTGAGTATTTTGATACTATACGGTCAGATACTTATTTCTAAGAAAGATATTGGTAAATCCAAGGCAATTTTGAGAGTACCTATAAGAATTTAAACTTGCAAAACACTTGAAAACTCAAGCAGTTGAAGGTAAATACTTTAACGAATCTTGTTAAAAACTTGGTCCTAAACGTCTTAACTACAAGTCCTCTCAAACTGTCTAAAAATGTTCGCAACAAACTCTTATTAATTCTAACGTAGTTTCACGGTAAAAGGCTAATTGTTATTTGTTCTTCCAGAAACTTCTCTAAGCATCAATACCTACGTATGATAGAATCTTATAGCCATACAAAAATAGATTTTATGAACAGTTATGGAATATTCAAGTATGGTAATAAAGGCTACACAGACACGATCAATACGACATCGTAAATATGCTACGGTTCTACGCTTATGTAAAATAGAAAATTTCCATCTAGGCTGAAATATAGGTGCATAACCTGACGTCAAAACATTTATAGGCACTACAAAACCCTTAGGAATTAAATGCTAACAGTTTCTAGGTGCCTGGTTTAGGCTTCCGCATTAGTAGTTATTCCCTATTACCAAAATTTATTGCATCTCCTTGAGATATAAAGAGGTAAATAGTATTATTAAAGGAAAATACGGTAACTTTAAAGCACCCAATGGGTGATAGAAGTACTTTATTAACTATATTCAAGTTGTTCCAAACGCGGAACGCCTAGTTTCTAGGAGCTTGATTGACCAAAGCCAATCAGATTAAGATCCAAACTTTCATTTTTATTATTCTAGTGAATAAGTCCATTAGTATCAAAAGCCCATCTAATTACTAGATGTACTACTAGACTATACACAATCCAGCTAATCGTCCCTTTCTCCTTTCAACGTGAACACTCAATTCGATGCAGTCCAATTCTAAAGATCGTATTTATTGCCCGTAAAGAGTGGTCTACGCGCTTATTGGTGCTCAGCATGTTAGAGAAAGTCCGTCTTACACTTGATTATAGTTTATAATATGAATATGGACAGAGCAATTGTTTTCGGAAGTTTTGATGAATCAATTAACTAACTTTTAGCGTTACAGTGATGAATGAACTCTGTTTTTTGTCGGTAATGGTTTCTCGATAAAAACTTAGATACGATAAATCAATGAAATGAGTGCTAAACAAATAGCTGTCCGAAATTGGTTTTGTGCATAACTTAGCAACCTTTTCTTTCAATTTTCATAGTTAAAAGGAGAAGGTCTTGATAAGGACCAACAGAAAACGTATAGCTCGTCATTTCTTTAGCTAAACAAGAGTAGTAAAATGATGTTAAATGACAAATATATTGTGACTGCACACATCGACAGCTCAAGATAAAATCAAGCGAAGCATAAAACATACTAACATACGATTTGCAGTCTAGACAGCGCAGTGTCGAGAAAGGCCTTTAAAGCTGTAGACACGAACATCTATTGAAGTGATACAATATGTCGTAAAATTTGCTTGTTCTATGTCACATCCTACTAGTATTGTGAATATGTGGAACAACGATCAATCGGTGTCGCAAAACTACTGAACAAATTTAGACGATAAAACGATAGAACAACAATGAAGATGCGAGGAGGAAGATCCGATTGCAACCAGCTGATCTGAAAGTCATTGAGGGAGGATTATGTTCAGCAGTAGTGGCTACAGCTGATATTTTTTTTATGGTCATGATGATAATAATGATGTTACGTATTAGAACCTCCTTAAGATGATTAATCTGTCGTCAAAAACAGAATGAATGACAAAAATGAACTCCACCTGTAACTCGATTTGGCTATATATGGTCAAAGTGACTAACTAGCTAGACTACTAGCTGCCAGCCCAGATCATTCAATTACTAGTTTCCTTAATTTAACTCTCATTTGCGTGGGATCTTAGTGTAAGTATAAATTCATCCAATGCGTCCATTATGGAAACAACCGATATTACTGATGAGGATAATCAACAGGAGACAGGACATGTTTCCTATTTTCCGGTCATAATTTTAAAATTATGAACAACTACTTGCTAGTTGCTATACACAGAAAATTACATGTTTAATAAACATAGTTTGTATCGGAAATGAAATGAAACAGAATAACATTTTATAAAAGGTTGTTCAGTAGTAGGTAATTCAAAACTCCTCAACTTCTGTGAAGTATTTTCAACCTTACGATTCAATGCTAACCGTATGAAAAATAGTGTACATAATAGCACAAGAAACATTGGCTCCATTCGAGCATGATTCAGAATAACAGCTCATACAGGCTGCAAAAATAGACAACAAAAAGGCTTTATGAGAAGTTAATTATACTGATACTAATAAATTGCATCTCGGACAACCAACTTCTGTTGCAAGGCATTGACATTATTTAAAGGCATTAAATCGGCTGATTCAACCAAGCATAAATACCTAGTTGAAAACCAAAGAAACACAAAACAAAACTTAAATATATATCGAAGATTTTGTTTATTTTTAACCCTTAGAAATTTAAGGAACGGCATAGTGAAAAAAATTACTCTCTTTTGTCTTATAATGAGAAGACAGTGAAAAAATACTCTAGAATTTTTTCTTTTTAAATGAATAATTAATCGAGCTATCCCTCAAGACAACGTAGATACTGGAACAAACTTGGCTAGATTAAACCGCCTTAATTGAATTCTCGGGAAATTTCTCGATGTTGAAACACCAGTGAATTTGGCAGTAGATAGGGGAACATTCCAGAAAACTAAGCAAAAAAACCTGTTGGAAAAGTTTACTCTGCATGCCTTATTAAGTACACAGGCTGTGCTCACAGACGTACTATGAAAGGAGATTAATCAGCTACGACCTAGAAACCGACTGTTCAAAAGGATAGCCATGTAGACTCAGCAAAGAGACTAGGTGTTTGCAAAAACTTCCTAGGAATCTGGACTTAAAATCCGGTCAAACCTAATTCTTCGCCCCAAATAGAAGCCAGGTTATTGCACCCATATTTATCGACTACACAAATGACATAATCAATTCGATGGCCCACTGACATATCAAACGTAACACATACCAAACCCTTAACGCGTTGACTTGACCCAATTAATTCAAAATGCGTACTAGTGCGTACACGTCACGCAAACAAATGTAAAGTAATCAATAATATAGTGAATGAATGTTTGAATCAATTGAATACAGGATCAATAGAGTTAGTAAATAGTATTACGTCATCAGACAGGAACGCAGCGGTCTAGCACTTGCTAGCTCGGTATGCAGGCGCAGTCGGAATCTGGACAGATATTAGAACCACTCTGCTATTGGAAGCTTGCAGCGGTTAGATGATATACCTACGATCGGAATAGATCGGATCGGGATCACGTTGAATTTCTAAGAACCACATTTCCAAGTCATGTCTGTTTAGGATTTAGAAATTTTCTGCTTTGAGATTTAATAAGAAAATTCTATGGAAACTTCGAAACCCAAACTTGGCTCTGCAATCAATCAATGTAATGTCTACAAGACGAGAGCACTCCAAACCATTCATGGCAATAATCCTTTCAAAAACGACTGTCTCACGCGATAATAATATTGATTTCCAAAATATAATCTTTGTCAAACAACACGAACAGACTAATAACAGTTCCGTATGCGTGATTCCGGATCGTAATGTTCTAAACAACGGGTAATATTATATAAAAACACGAGAGCACCAAGGTTTCTCTAGAGCACTACATTCGATCCACTTTTACTAACTAACAATAATATAATGGCTAGTTTTTGTCCGCAGTCGACTGTGGTAATATAGATTCGCAATATTCGTAAAAAAAGTGTAAAGATATTGCTCTTGGCGACAAATTAGACACTCAATACCAATCTCTTAATAAAAAACTCGATTGAATGGGACTAATCAACGAATTGCTCGAGACCAAACAACTGAGGTCAACGTATCGTATCACTCTACTTGAAACTAAAGTTATTGCCAGTTAATTGACAGATATAAAAATGGTCTCGAATTTCTAAACAATATATGCGAAAACATCGACATCGTTGTAGGCGTGACAGACATTAATCTAAGACAATTTTAAGTTTCAATCAAGTAAAATACGTAGCATATTAGATTATGAAGACATAAAATATTACGTCATTTTAAAAACTCACCACTTCAATTTTAAACAAAAACAAATTCCTATCTTAATCTTGACAAAAATATGAGAGATGTTTTTATAGATTAAAAAGATAAAAATGGCGTTGTAGAGTGGGCGTATATATGGAACCTGTGGACTTAGTCATAAAGCATTGATCATAGCTCTGACATCACATCTAAGGCTGATAATAATGCTGTGGACTGCGAGTGAATAAAGTTCAGTGCGTGATTAGAAAGGTCGGAGGACCATTGATTCTGTGATGTCAATATAGACAGTGATGTTGATAAAATATATTGTTTATTACTCCAGTATGTTTCTTTATTTTAGGTGACGATTTGCCTTTTACATTTCTTTTCTTCTCCTGATAATTGTTTTTGACAGTATTATGTTGTAAATGTCCCAAATAAACAATTTATAGTACTTCATTATTTACGAAAATTTTCACGTAGGTGGCAACCGCACTTCTGAGAAGGTTCTCCGAATCGTCTGATGCCTTTCCGCCAAAAATAGGAGTACGACCTTTGGTATTTTGGCATT